CCACCTACTTCTGCTGTAAATGATCGATCTAGTGCGGAACCAAATATTTCGAAACCGGTTGTAATTGTTGTAAATTCCCAATCTGATTTTCTCTCCGCTGATGAGGATGATCCTCCACCAGAAATCCCTGCGAACATTCGTCATCTGTTAGATCGATTTCCTGAGGTATTGGCTGAACCCCGCGGAGTTCCCGAGCATCCAGTCAAGCACAAAATCGAGATAATAGAGGGAAGTGTTCCTCTTAAGGGCTGCGTCTACCGTATGGGACAAGGCGAGTTGGAGGAGCTGCGGAGACAAATTGATGACATGATTGATCGTGGATGGATTAGGCCTAGCGAGTCTGAGTTCGRCGCACCTGTTTTGTTTGTGCCGAAGAAAGGASGCAAACTTCGGATGTGCATTGATTATCGTGGTTTGAACCGAATCACAAGGAAGAATGCCTACCCTTTGCCTCGTATAGATGATCTGTTGGATGCGGCCGGTAGATGCAAAGTCTTCTCCAAGATCGACCTCAAATCTGGCTACCACCAGATTGAAGTTGATCCAAGCGACCAGCACAAAACTGCGTTCAAGACACGTGATGGGCTGTACGAATTCATCGTTATGCCCTTCGGCCTTACGAACGCTCCAGCCACGTTTCAGTCCCTCATGGACAAGGTACTCCACCACCAACTTAACAGGTTTGTGGTTGTGTATCTTGATGACATTCTGATTTTCAGCAAGTCCATGAAGGAGCACGTCAAGCATCTCGAGGAGGTCTTGCAAGTCCTCAAAGACGCTCAACTGCACCTCAACTTGGAGAAATTTGAGTTTGGCAGGGACAGCGTTATCTACCTTGGGMACCGGTTGTCTGCAAGCGGTCTTGAGCTGGAGGCAACCAAGGTTGAGGTCATCCGCAACTGGCCTCAACCGGCGAATGTACGCGAGCTGCGTTCTTTTCTTGGTTTGGCTTCTTACTACCGGAAGTTTGTGCCTAAGTTCTCTGTCATTGCTCAGCGCAGCTCCCACGCTAGACTCCAACGCACGTACTCCAAAACGTGCGAATGTAGAATAATCCCACAAACAAACAACAGTTGGGGTATACCCTAGCGGACTGACTGGACCGGACTGGACTGGCTGGTATCGACAGAGGTACCGACCTGGACTGGACTACCCCGAATACAACACAGGCCTGTGAGAACAGGCCAAGGGGCTGGTCTCACAGGCCAACCAAAGGTCCGCTACACGATCCTCGGCCTATGATGGATCGCCTAGATACAAGCACGCTTCCGCCAAGAAGCGGAGCTCTAGCAAAGAAAAAGAAAACCTGAGTAGTCTAGGATGCGGAGCAAGCTCCATGCTGAGTCCATGCGATGCAACCTAGGATAGAAAATGTCACAAAAACAATAATGTCACAGCTAACAGCCTAGGTGAAAGCAGAACCAACTAACTAGCATACATGTCCTAGGAAAGCAAAAAGTAATGACAACTAAACCCTAGAATGTTGGAGGCGGTAGCCTCAGTCTCGAAACATCTGACTAGTGTATAAGTCCTAAGAACAGCAAAAGCAGAACAACTAAATCCTAGAATGTCAGAGGCAGTAGCCTCAGTCTGAGAGCAACAAAGCAACAACAAGACAACCATATGTCACAGGAGGAGTGTGTCGCAAACCAAAAGGTGGGATGGTCTCTGAGGGTGGCGAATGCAGCCTAGGGGTCGATAACTCCTAAGGGCATCCACATAAAATGACAGGGAGGCACATGTCATCAGGCTCAATGAGGGTAGGGAACTGGGAGCAAACAGAACCAATGACCCTAACAGATAGACCATCAGGGCGGGTAATGCTCGACTAAGGGGGTGACCGCTATGGAGGGTCGACCATGCAAGGGAACAAGGGAGCCTGGTATACTGGGCGCACCTAGATGAAGCATGCGAGGCTGCCTAACTAGGGTGTGAGGGCCGGCAAAGGGTAGAAAAAGTGATGGGTAAGGGAATCATGCAAATGACTCCTAAGGTGGGGAAGTCGGAGCTGGATCCGTAAGTTGGGAAGCCAAGGCAACACTACGGTCCCGATGCCTATGCGTATACCAAGGGAGAGCCCAACTCAGAGGAACCCGGCGAAGGGAGACCATCATACGACACAACCAGGGTACTGTACAAGGTAAGGTGGTAAGAGAGCGACGACGTCTGAAGTAGGCAAAGCTGATCGTGACGAAGTCCATGAAGCTGCCGATGATGTCCATGGTGTGAAGTCCGGAATGTCGTTGAGGAAGAGTCGCAACGACGACGAACTGAAGTGGCACAACTGGAGTGGACGAAGTACTGAGAAGTCAAAGACGTGGGAAGATAAGTCAGAGTCAATCGTCGTATCAAGCAGGACGACGATGAGTACGTTGTGGACGCTCAGAAGCATCCGGCTGCTGCTGAAGGTCTGCCTCAGATGGAGCAGGCTTGACTTCAGCGGTCTCCTCAACCGAGGGAGAAGGAGGAGGGTCAGTGGGCTGAGGAGTAGTCAACCCAGCACGACGAGCACGGTCATAGGCATGCACCAACATGCGAGCGTGCTGCAAGTGCTCGAGGGGCTCCCAAGTAGCCTCCTCATCGGGGTAACCCTTCCAACGTACGAGATACTCGATGTGAGGAGGGTTGTCGTCAGTGACTCGGCGACCAATGATGTCTAAAACGAGGAACTCCTCGTGGCCGTCCACCATGATGGGTGGGGGGGGCTCGTATGGTCGTCCGGCGAAACGCTCAAACGGTCTGCGGTAGGGACGCAGTAACGAGACGTGGTAGACATCRTGCACACGAGCCTGGCGTAGGTAGTCGGGCAGCTTCACAAGAAAGCTGACCGGGGTAGAAGCCGTATCAGAACTGACGGCTTGGAGAATGCGGCATGGGCCAAAGAAGCGACGCCGAAACTTGTGAAGTTGTCCGCTTCTAGCTGTAAGTGGCGAGCGTCGATAAGGACATCATCACCGACTTTGAATGGATGATCCGTCCTCGATCGGTTCGCATATGCTGCCATGCGAGTCTGGGAAGTGGCTATGTGCTCATGCGCGGTCTTCATGATCGACGTCATGTGTGCAACCCAATCATCCAACGCGGGACAACTCGTGTCGGGGTGCATCTGTGACTGTCGAAGGAAGTCCGCGGGAACACAAGGGTGATAGCCGAGGTCGCAATAGTAAGGCGACATCCTCGTGGCTAGCGAGACGACGTGGTTGTAGGCTATCTCTGCGTGGGCAAGATGGAGATCCCACTGCTGGTCGTCACGAACAATCTTTTGGAGAATATCTCTGAGAGTCCTGTTCGTGACCTCGGTCTGACCATCAGAGTGGGGATGGTAAGACGAGGAGAAGTGGAGCTGGGTGCCGTAAACCTCGTGGAGCCGTCGCCAGAATCGGCTGGTAAAGCGCGGGTCACGGTTAGATATGATGCTCAAAGGTAAGCCGTGGTCACGCACGACTCGATCAAACACGATGTCGGCGACCTCACGTGCACCGATGGCATAGCGGCACGGAACAAAGCGTGCACGCTTTGTGAAGCGGTCGACGACAACCAGGATAACATCATCACCGTGGGGGGTTGGAGGACGAAGAGGACCGATAAAGTCCATCGAGATGGACTGCCAACGACCCTCAGGAATAGGAAGAGGCTGGAGCAAACCATAAGGCAGGTGGTTCGCACTGTTCACCTTCTGACAGGTGGGACACTCTGCGACGTAGTCCTTCACAAAGTCCTTGCGCTTTGGCCAGACGTACAAGTGGCTCACACGAACCAACGTCTTGTGGAATCCCATGTGACTGGCGGCTGCCTGGTCATGGAACTCTGCTACTGCCCGGACACGTTGCTGTCCAGTGGAGGGAACGCAAATACGGGCCTCGCTGGTGCCCTGTGAGCCGTGCCAGTACACAAGACCGTTGTCCCCGAGATAGTAGTTCGGGACGGTGTTACCACTCCGAAGGGTCGGATGGATGTCGCGATAGTCGGGGCAGTGGCGGTACTGAGTGCGAAACTCGTCGATCACCGAGTGGTGGATGGTGGTGACCGAGATGGCAACGAGCTGGATCTGCTCCTGATCATGGTCAGGGCGCCGGGATAAGGCATCAACGACCCGATTAGTCTCATGCTTGATGCGCTTAGTGGTGAAACTAAACTCGGATAGGTCGCGGCACAAGCGAGCCTGTCAAGGAGTGAGCTTCGGCTTTGTCAGAAAAGCCTGGACAACAGAGTTGTCTATGCGCACCGTGAATGGTGCCCCGTGCAGGTAGTGACGCCAGTGCCGAGCGGCATAAAGTACTGCGAGAACCTCACGTTCATCAGCGGTGTAGTTTATCTCAGCGGGCAGGAGCTGACGGGAGTAGAAGGCTATCAGACAATCACCTGAGCGAGACTCGACAGTGCCGTCCTCGGCGATGGTAGAAGAATAGTCAATAGAAGGCTCGTCAGTAGCTGGACGAGTAGGCGTTAGGCGGGAAGCAGTGGTAGGGGTAGGGGGTGGGAAGCGAGGGATACGAGGATTAGAGGAATCAGGAGAGGAGGGGAAAATATGAGAAAGCATTGCTCCTACAACGAAGTCTAACGCATCGGTGGTAAGGATAAAAAGGCGATCAAAATCGGGTAGGTGAAGAACCGGTGCACATGTCACCACCTTCTTGAGGGCGCGAAAGGCGTCCTCATGGAGGGGTGTCCAAGCCCAAGGCGGGTTCTTCCGGAGGAGGGTGGAGGTAAGGACGAAGGAATACCTAGCGTATCCCTGGATGAAATTACTATAGTAGCTAGTGAGACCTTGGAAGCTGCAAAGCTGCTTGGCGGATGTGGGGACGGGCCACTCCGCAATAGCAGTGATCTTCGCGTCATCCATGTGGAGACCCTGGTCAGACACGTAGTGTCCTAAGAAATCCACTTTGTGCTGGGCAAAGCGGCACTTGCTCAACTTGGCGTAGAAGCCATGTCTTCGCAAGCAGTCAAGGGCATTGAGGTGTCTGAGATGCTCCTCAAGGGTACGACTGTACATCAGGATATCGTCGAGGTAGACGAAAACGTACTGCTCCAGGATGTCCCTGAAGATGTCGTTCATCGCCCTCTGGAAGGTAGCGGGTGCGTTGGTGAGGCCGAATGGCATCACCGTAAACTGGTAGCGGTCGAAGCGCGATCGAAACGCTGTCTTTGGCTGGTCCGCTGCAACAACGCGGATCTGATGGTAACCGCTATGAAGATCAATCTTCGTAAAGAAGCGGTTGCCTGCTAGGCGGTCGAACAGCTCGTCGGAACGAGGCATGGGATAACTGTTCTTAACCGTGTAGCGGTTGAGGCCACGATAGTCGATGCAGAGATGGAGAGTTCCATCCGCTTTGCGAGCAAAGAGGACGGGTGCACCCCACGGGGAGTCGTTGGGTTTAATGAAACCCAATCTCAGGAGCTCCTCAAGCTGACGCTCGAGTTCGGTGGCCTCGAGAGTCTGTAGGGTGCCTGGTGGTGAGCACGATAGTCAGGCACAAGCTGGATGGAGTGCTCGACGTCGCACATCGACGGGATGCCGGCGTACGAGAACGACGATGGGAAAACGTCGTAATACTCTCGTATTAGGTCACGGACTGCGAGCTCCAGGTTGGCCGTATAGCGTGCGAGTTCCTCAGCGTCAGCGTCAGCGCGTGACGGCGAGGTGGACTCAACGGACGGCGGAGGGAGGGAAGTAGAGATGGGAGCTATAGAGATAGAAGGAGGATTTGGGTCCAGAGAGATGAGTTCGGCGTCGGGACAGGGTGGATCATGGTGCAAGAGATTCGTAACGTTCATCGTAAAGAAGGTGACGTCGTCCTGTCGGATGAAGTGAGCGAACTGCCGAGGCGATGTGACGGTGAGAGTAGGAGATGGTGTGGGCACAGAAGGCTCCGGGGAGGAGGGTCGGGGCGTGGTGTCGAGGTGGTACCTATGAAAGGTACGCGATACGTCTGTCCACACTTCGTTTTGAGAACGAGAGTGTTGGTCGCGCAATCGGCCTCGGTGCTGCGGAACCGACGAGACCACGGAGTACCGAGAATGAAGTCGTACCCCGTCTCCATCACATCGAAATGTGTAGAGGAGCGGTGGCGACGAGACATCGGGGGACGATCAGTCGGCTTGAGAGTGAGGAAGAAAGGGAGGTCGGTGACTGTCTGATCGAAGAAGCGCTAGGTCTTGTCGTCCCCTAGGGTGACGGTGTCGGCGCGAATACCCTTACAAGGGTATCCGCCCTGGTTTTTGCAAGTGACAGAGGATAAGGGTTGTTCAGAATTTGAGTATACCGTGCGAAGTTGCGGTTGTGTTTGGTTCGCGCTGACTGGAGGGTTGACTAGGAGCAAAGTGTGTGTGGGCGCACAGTTTTGAGGCGCGCATGATGATTTTTTCTCTGATGCTATAGAGTCGGCATGTCCGCCAACAACATTTTTTGGGCTTTGAGTCAAGCTAGGAAAATTTTTCTTTTATTGAACTGACCATGGTGCACCTGCGTTTTTACGGCATTCGCCATCGGAAGTAGATTGCTAGGTGGCGGCACACTTGTGCTGCATGTTCCCCCTTCATACAGCAAGGGCCGGTGCGTAGGAACCGTAGACGCAAGCAGTGGCCTTCGTGCGGCACTATGGGGGCTACAAGCGTGACATGCCGAGCAAGATCCGATCCCTGACGGCATGTGCGCGTGTATGAGGCCTTGGGATTGGAGGGGAAGTCAAGCGACAGCCTTAACGCTGCTGCCGGGGGCCCAGGCTGGCCACGGTTACCATTCACATCCCGGGCTGCGCACACCCTGTTTAGGCTTGGGCTTAGCCCTATTGGTTATAGTGCTAGACTCTCACCAGGCGGATCCTGAGATCGAGGCCAGCAGCCAGCAATGGAGTGGAGGAGCGCTACGGAGTGAACTAAAGGGTTGAGGGTCCCGTGGGATTATTTCCCTTAGTTTTGTTGGGGAATCCGACCACGGGCCCGATAGGCAGGACCGAGGGCAAGGTTCCAACCGTTTTTCATGTCCCGTTCCTTTTTCTATTTTTCATTGTGTTTAATTTTTAGTTTTCTTTTTATTTTTATTTTTCCAAGTTGGGATGCGGCCCCGTGCCGGTACCGGGACCGGCCACGAGGGCCAAGAGCCTAGTTCAGTGGATACACCACTGAACCGTTGAAATACAGACCCAACTCGTCGGCTGCCGGGTATAAGGCTGGAAGGCTGAACCGTTCCGAAGTTGGCTCTCTCCGAGGCTTCCCTCAGGATGGTTTGAGCTTGGACCGATATCGGTCGCAGTCGGGCTGCCGTGGGACCGGGTGCTGCGGCAGTAGCTAGCGCAGGAGTATGGTGGCAGGAAGCAGGCAGAACGACGGGGAGATCTCGTAACGGGCGGGGCTGACTGGGCTGCGCTAGCAGCAGCAGGCAGAGAGGCAGTGTGGCAACGAAAACGTATACGAGGAACGGACGAGAGGCGGGATGCAGCAGCAGAGAAAGTGTGACAAAGGAGGGATGGACCTAGGCGCAATTTCGCGCCAGGTACATCCGATGGTAGAAGAAGCAGGGATGGCGAAGTTCGAGCCGGGGCGCAGGGGAGAAAGGAGAGCGCTCACGATGTTTCATAGCTCTAGGCTAGAGGAAGTAGTAAGTAGGGGTTTCTGACCCGGGGAAGGCGATTGGTCATGTTAGTTTAGAGTTAGAGGGAAGGAGGAAAGAGTAGTGATGAAAACGACGTGCGCGGAGCACCGACGACGACAGATATGGCTGAACTGAAAACTGAAAACTGTATAACTCACCCGATTTTTAATGGAATCAGGCGAATAAAGACCCGTTCCGGGAGTTTTAACGTCGGGCGAACACGAATATGATGTTAGATTGAGTAGAAAAATTAGTGGAGTGAGAGTTAGTAGGAAGTAGAGCTGCGAGAAGGCATCGAGGAGGGGTTATGGCGGGAGAAAAAGGGGGGGGGATCTCGGCTGATATTAGATAGAGACACCCATATGAGGGAGCTAGATAGGAGTTTGGAGCCTTGCGAGGAGGATGAGCGAGGCAGAGTGTTGATCCGGGCAGTGGAGTGGGCGGCATGGACAGCGGGGGCTGCGTGCGGGATGATAGCATCGGAGTATGGATGCATCTGTCCGCCTTATAGTGGAAGATTCATTCGAACTTTCTCATGGACGTTATGAAAGTTGTGATTGGCGGGCACGGGGTTGGGGACTTACCTGCTGGCTGGTACGAGGCTCAGCTTAGTCGACAGTTTACTCACCTCGAAGCCGTTGCCTCCCTATATAGTAACTGTATTCAGGTTCTCGTTGTTTGAACCTGGCCTGCGTCGATGGTAGGGTGCATCCGAGCGCAGAGTGAGAGCGGGTGTCAGAAACATCAAGAGGGAGTGGGGAGGAACAGCAAAAAACGATGAACTCGCCCATCACTCGCTGAAGATGGGCGGGGAAAGAGCCGAATTAAGCTTTCTAGCGCAGGGCGAGTGTGAAGGTAAGGATAGTTCTAGTGCTGGAGTAGTGTATAGGGAGAGTCGGGGAGCATGCTAGGAGGAGGAAGGAAGAGTCGTTATACCTGGCGAAAATGAAAGGTCTGGTCAGGATAGCCGTATAACGAGTGGTTGGTATATGAGAGTATCTTTCCTCGTTTTAGCGGAAGATACATTCTGAATTTGTCTATCCTAACAGTCGAAGTGGCGTCGGGCCAGCCGCGGGGGTTGGAATCGTACCTGTTTGGCCGGCGCATATCGTCAGAAGAGCCGATTGGCTTTGTCCCTTTCGACTATTGAGGCGTTCCGGTTTCATTTCCTCTGCAAGGAAGGCTGGAAAAGTGATATATCCTTCCACATTCAGGTGGAAAGCTCATCCAGTTTACTCATCTTACAAAGAGAAGCGGTGCGGAGCCGGCAAAGGGGCTCGAAACTTACCTGTCCACGAGAACCCTGCCCCATCTCCTCGGACAAAGTGACGAGGTGAGCGAGCTGAGAGCCAGAAAGCTTACCTGCAAGTTGTTGTGCCGCTCCTTCCAGCTATTGAAGCAAGCGAGAAGGAAAGTTGTGGGCTGTATGGTTACAGCTAGCTAATCCGCTGACACTTCGTGGAAAGGGTAAAGCGGGGGAGGGGAAGAACAACGGCGGGATAAGAAACTCACCTATAAAGCGCGCACTGCTCAGTCCGATGGGGCATGGAGATAAGCGCAGAGTTAGGGAACTCAGATGTTGACCAGTGAGCCGCCCATTGCACCGGACGCAGTTAGTTGTAGGCAAACAGCGAGGTAGGGACCTACCTATGAGCCGACGTGCTGCCCAGCTGGTTGACTGCAGGAGAGCCGCCGGGCTGAAGACCTGAGCATTGAACGGTACGCGACAGTCATATCGTGCCCAGCGGAGTAGGCCCAACCGTGAGGTCGCCGACCTGCGGGTCCACTTGCCCTGTTATCCCCTGCAGTGGCTGTTGCCTTGCTATGAAGAGTTCATGACACAGCCTTCTAAGCCTCGGCTTGTACCTTGAAGTCATAGCCGGTGGGTCGTGCATCTTGCTAAGGAGAGCTAGCAGTGGGCCGCAACGAGGTGAAAGGGGGAGCTGAAGGTCGGGCAGCAGCATCGACTGTACGGGTGCCACGGAGCTGGTAGTGTATCTGCCTATAGGTTGAATGGGTGACGCAGTTCGATTTTGGCTCAGTTGTTACTGCAGAGAGTCGCTAGTTTAAGTGTTGTGAAAACAGGGTTCGCAGTGTATGGTGGAGTATGGTGACTGTTGGCTATGCTTGGCAGTTGTTGTTGGTTGACTGTGCGTGAACTGTTGTTATTGGCTGTACGCAGGCCGCATACTGTGCAAGGGCTGCTATTACCGCCTGCTGTTGATTACTGTGTACTGCTGCATGTGGCTACAAGCCACTGAAGACTGCGGCTGAGGACTGTTGTTGCTGACAACCGTTACTATTGCTGATAACCGCCGCTGTGTACTGCTGCTGTGCTCAGTGACTGGGCAAGAACGACTGTTACTGTTCGTGGCTGTACACGGCTGCTGCTGCTGCTGCTGACCGGGCACGGACTACAACTGCATACTGTTACGGGCTGCTGAGTGGCCACGATTGGGCTGAGGAGAGGTGTTAAAACTTGGGGAGGTAGTCAGGCTGGACGAGTAGGGGATTAGTGCTGCAATTTGTGAGGTTGGGTGAGGGGTGACACAGACAGCTCGACGTCAGAAGTTGAACAAGCTATTACATTGGTTGTCATTGCGGAACCCTCAGGCGCATCCAGATTTCAAGACCCTCTCATTGTGAGTTGAGTTGTCCCATTCTGGATCCTCGAGAGTCTGAACTTTCTGATTCTATCCTTCTTACTCTCAGTCTAATCTAAGGTTACGAGAGGAAGGCGGCAGGCGGGATTGCAACCCGTAGGTCCGCATCAAGACCTTGTGGGAGGTCCACCCACCGATTGCGGGAACTTTGCCGGAGCCCAGGCGAGGTTCCGGAGGCAGGGAACTTCATGTATAATCTCGTCTGACGCGTGTGATCCCTTCCCCTATCTATTATCCCCTGGGTATCTGAGTACAACTATGTACGGACATTACGTTCTATTTTTGCTATGTATGTTGGGACATGTTTGGGGGGAAAGGTAAACGAACAAGTGTATGTGAGAGATCAGATAATCCCTTGAGAGAATTCAGGCAAAATGAACTGGGGAAAGGTGGGATGAAGGTGTGTGCATGTGTTTGACTGGGTCAACCCAAGGCTGAGCTCCTCTAAGTTGATGTGGGCTCAATGCTATGTTTTATTTATGTTTGCTGGGCTGACTGTATGATCTTGAGGGCTGGGCCTATCCTAAGTTGGACGGAGCAGTCGCTGTTTTTTCTGGGGTTTCTGAACAGGAGGATGAGCACCCTAAGTTGGGAGGACTTAGAATCCTGATGTTTCTTTTTGTGGGTTGCTGAAAAACAGAGTTGGGGATATTCTAAGTTGCGTAGACCCAACTCTGTGTGTGTTTTCTTCTGAGGGGGATACAGGCATGAGGCTGAGCATACCCTTAAGTTAGGGCAGCTCAGTCATAAGCCATGAACAGACAAGTCAACCAAAAGTATATAATTTTGATATATATGATACGAACGTATATCATCTGGCAGATCGGGCACCCTAAGTTGGGAAAGCCAGTCAGTAAGTCAGGTAGAACAAGAAGAAGAGAAAAGCCATGAAGAAC